GATTGGAACTGGGTGATCTTTGAGGTCCCTTCCAACCCAAACCATTCTATGATTCTATGATACATTTAATATGATTTTCTATTATTTATATCCCTATTTTCTGATTGTTTTCCTATTCTTTATTACTTTGTAACTGCAGAAGAAGCAATTTTTTTTCTCCTGTTACGTTGGTTGCACTTACAATAAAGGCACTCTCCTTTCAATTTCTAAACTGGATTCTTTGCCTGTCTGATTCCCTGTCTTGTCTGGTACAAAGCAGTCATGCTACAAGAAATTTTTGAGATGCAGACATCTAATGATACACACCTTTGCAAACTCTTACCAGTGACTAAGCCTTTTAGGAAATTATTTTTCTTCTTCTTAGGGCTGGTTTCATTTCCCAGATATATTAGAAACCAACTAGCAGGCACTCGGGGGTGGGGGGGCAGGAAGCAACAGTAAGAACAGTTTAGATGCACGTGTTACTTGGCTGTTCCCTGTGCATTAGTGTTCTTTTCAGACTGTACAGAGATAGGACCTACAGTTTTTTCATCTGACATACACAAGCCTTTCAAAAGGTTTTGGAAATTGAGACAGATGCCAGGCTGAATTCACCTGGGCTGTGGGAACAGCTACGCTCAAAGTCTGGCAGGATCCTTGTGCACCCAGGGAAATGCAGGTCCCTCTGCTCCCTTTCACCCACCAGATGAGCGCCTCACCCACCTGGGTACAGTCAGAGCCATCTCAATATAGGGTTTTTCCCCTAAGAATGTAGCTTGTATTATAAAATTTTCTGCTTCAGCTAGTACACAGACTCTGACAAGAAACCCTATTTTGCCTAAATGTTCCCTAAATAAGTCTATTTAGACAACAACAAAGCCAGCAGGCTAGAGTGGAAGAATGGGGCGCTGACAATATGCTACCTGGGTACAGTCAGAGCCATCTCAATATAGGGTTTTTCCCCTAAGAATGTAGCTTGTATTATAAAATTTTCTGCTTCAGCTAGTACACAGACTCTGACAAGAAACCCTATTTTGCCTAAATGTTCCCTAAATAAGTCTATTTAGACAACAACAAAGCCAGCAGGCTAGAGTGGAAGAATGGGGCGCTGACAATATGCCCCCTTCCACAGCCGACCTGCTGGGCACAGCGGCTGCCTCGCTGCTGTCACAGTCCGGGACGCGCACATCTCACCTCGTTACGGGGCCAGTCCATGCAAAAGCATTCCAGGTCCTCCAGTTTACACGGAGCTTGTGAAATCTTTAGGGAAAAAATGCTGCTCTGCCCAAGCTTTCATAACAGCCAATAAATTTAAAAAAAAAAAAAAAAAAAAGTTTAAACCAATAAATACCAGTTAAACAAAATATTTGCAGTTTGTCAAAACCAATGAATTCTTCCCACTGTGAAAGCAATGGGTGATGCTTTAAATCCAGGACGCTGCAGCTTCCAAGACGACACGATTCACTGAGTTTGGACAAACACAGCTATGACTTCCTTGGCTGTATTCTACAATGATGCAAGTATATCCACGCAGATGGAAACAAATTCATGTGACAAAATGGGACAAAAAAAAAAATAATCAAAGAATAAGGCATTTCAGTTCAAACTAAATCTTTATTCATATGGAAAATACTACTTTTCTTTTTCCAAATTATGCTAATAAATAAAAATACTCAGCAAGAACTTTGCTTAAAGTAAAGTGGCTAGTTACAGCCACATGAAGCTTTTAATTCCTGTTAAAACCACGCCAACAATCATGCAGATTGGCTACGAGAAAGCAATATAAACTATATTTTATTTTGTGCAATCTTATCGTACAATCTTAATGCTACCTTCTTCTAAACCATTTCACATAGACTGAAATGCGATTTCAAACCAAATATTAAGGGACATATTCTACACTTATTCCACATATGGAGCTGTGTATAGCTTAAGCCCATAAACATATAATGTAGTTAAGCATCTAAAGAAGGTAAAAGAAAAGAAGACCCCATTCTGAAAATTCAGACAAGTTTATAAACATAAGAGAAGAAAAGCTCACACCAGTGAGTTCTCAAAAGATAAATACATTATTAAAGCATAACAATAAATTATATTAAATTTAATAATGTTCACCCTTAGAATGGTTACTTCTGAGGAAATATCACTTAAAAAGCACACCAAATCTTTCATCACCAGGAGTTAAACTGTAAGTTTACATATCTCAATTTCCCACTTGGATGCAATCTTGTTTTATAATAGGCTTCAGCTTTGTGAGCATACTCTTTATCATACATTTAAAAACAAACTGAAAAATGTTGTGGTTAAGCTGTGCATCAAACACATCATCAAGGTGAGAAACAGGCACTTGACAGTATAATGTGCAAGGCAAAACCTTTACTGGTCACAGTATAAAGAGTTTCTTCAGGAGGGAAATTAAAAGTTCTCAGCCCATCTTTGAGAGCAAAATATTGAGGGCTGCTAGCAGATCTTTTTCCATTCTTTTAAGTCAGCACCAACAACCAAACTAAATACTAGCTCATGCCTTAGAGGGCACTCCATAAACTATAAATTGCAGCATACTTTACCCAAGAATACTAATTCTTTCCTATAATTAACCTCAGCACACGTACTCGCCAAAGGCAAATACAGAGTTTACTCACAGACTAAATGATGCAATATAAATGCTAACCTTTCTCCTCTACTAGTATTTTTTTTAATATATAATGCCAATTTTACAAATACATTTGCCAGTTACAAGATCCTGTTTCGTAGCACAAAACACTGACGTTCTCTTATATAAACTTAAGAACAAACATCTTTTAACATCCTATTAATATCAGAAAAAAAAAAAAAGCAAAAACAAAAACATTTTGCTACAGTTTCCCTCCAGGCACATCTCAACAAGAATCTCCAAAAAAAATAGCTATGCAGGAACTGTAAGCCAGAAACCCACACATGAATTGGAAGAAGGAGGAGAAAGAGAGAGCTAAAAAAGAGGTAAGGTGGCAACAACAGAAACAAGGTACAAGCTTAAATGAAAATCACATGCATCCCTTTTCATCAGCACAAGCTTCCTGCAAAAATATGTTTACAAGACACCCGTTATATAAAGGTATATGCTTTCTTGTGAAAAGGCTGATTTTCTCTGAAATGCTAACTTGATCTTCCGATGTACTGGCCATATTGCTAGGCAGTCAACAAGTTTTCATTTCTCTTATACCAGTTTAACAACCAGGAGAGAAAAAGCCTACTTTTCATTTCTTATGAAACTTTTGGTTTGATTTCCCCCCGCCCCCGACTGTTAAAGCAGTATTTATGTACATCATATAAACAAAATGGACACTAACTTTGGATCTGACATCAGCTGCACTGCTAATGAGAGACAACATGCTAGAAAGAGGCACTTTTAGTATTCTTATATACATTTCAAATCTCAAGTTTAACACTTCACCTTCTTTTACCAAAAAATTAAAACATCAGTAGCTACTAAGATGGAGCTTTATAACAAAAAAGCTTCAGAAGCTGTGTGCATGCACATACTTGCAATGGCTCAGTTACCCTGAAAATGCCAGAGTATAATGCAATCGCTGCTTACGGGGTAGGGGGGAAAGGAACAACACAGTACAAACCAGAAAAGTTTTGTTTTGTAGAACAAGGACCAGCTATTGTAAAAATGAAAATATGCCCTTCCATGAGAAGCAACTTATCCCTGGATTCAGGACTACGGATACTGAATATCAAGATCATCTTATACTCTACCCACTGCTGCTTTCCAAATTTTCAATCATTTTTATTTTGGGCATAACACCCATCTTAAAAACTGAGAAGCTTAGCTTTGTCAAACAACACTCAATATAAAACAAAACAAAACAAAAAACAAAACAAAACAAAAAACCCCACAACTCTGGAAGACCCATTTGACCTGACTATTGGTGAAGATACTGTGATGGAAGGAATCACATCAGAATAGTAATTTCCCATTTCCTACACAGTATAGCACGTTGTAAGAGCTGAGCATCTTGTGTGCACAAGCTGAAGCATATGCTGAGGCTGAAGATTTGGAAAACAGTCTACTAAGTATAAGCATTTTCCCTGCAAGCGACGGATCAGTATTCTTAGTTAAAAAGGGACAGCATCAAAACTAAAATTTTGAGTGGCCCTCCCACACCAGGAAAAAACCAGGACCTTAAGCGAGTGGAAGTTCCTACATAAGGCAGTCAAATTTACAACCAGTGTATACATTCACTAAGGAATTACATTTTTTTGGTAAAACCAACAATCCAACATACTGCAGAGTCTGAATGTGAAATATAGGCACAAAATAGATTCTCTACTTTTTTCAGTGTGGAAAACATAGCTATTTAACAATGTAATAAGAAAATTTACTATCAGGTGAGCAAAAATTTGTAACAATCTGAATAAAACTAAGTACTGTATAAAGGTGCAATATTGAGCAGATTTGATTTTGGTTTAAACACACGAGTAAATCATGAACCTTTCTCTTCTTATCTATGAAGTATTTCACATTACTGGTATCATTCTAGTTCTTCCCAGTTGTCAGTAAGGTTACCTTTGCTTTGACGTCTAATACTAACCAGCTTTCCAGCTGATTTGATACTCCACCTGGAACTGTTTCCTGAGCTAGCCAGGTTTGTGTATTTTGTGGAGCCTTTGGTTTCATCTTCCCAGCCTGACCAGGCTGTGTAGTCACTTAAAGTAGTTGCTGCATCACTGGTAGCGTCAGCAGAGGTAATCTGCGGTGGTTCCCATCCCTCAATCTCATCTGGTTTCCTAGACGGAACATTCTGCTTTATCACCAAACTGTCCCAAAAACCTGGCTTCTTTTCTGACTTCATCTCTTCCTTTAACTTTAGGTTTGTTCTAGAAAATAACAATGATGAGGCGATTAATTTCTTCATTTAACAATCCATATAATAGTTATTAATAAATGTTAGTAAGGAACGCTAATCAGTCATCAGCCTATGACAGCACATCCATTACTGTCAGCTTCAGGAAAAACACCCTTGTATACATGTAAGCCTTACCACAGCAGAATCTTGCAGTTATAAATCAGGAGTGGACCCAGTATGGCCATTTCCTATTATAAAATAACTCACACTTCTCTCCCTGCCCCAGTGAATTACACAGAACTGGCTTTGGAAACGTATGGAGTATATTTTAGCATGCCTTAGAACAGCTGATGACTTTAAGCAAAAAAAAAAAACAAACACAAAACCAATAAAACCATAAACAACCAAGCCAGAGGTAGGCTAGTAAGAAGGAATATGCAAATGTTTTGTCTATCACCAGCTTTAATAATCACTCAACTATGTTCCTCAGTTTCATATACCTTGCCAGTCAAACCTTACACCCCAAGATGGTTGATGTACACAGCATTAGGACTTTAAAGATACCAGCATCTTCTTCATAAAGATCTGCACCATTTTTGAAAACAGCTGTTTTGTATTTCTGGTAAGAACTCCCCAAATTCCCCTCCCAAAACCAAGAAAAAAACAACCTTTGTTGTCGTTTCTCTCAGAGACATTTGAAAGGCTACTCTTATTATTACATTTCTCATCCCGTTACGAGCCTTCAATCTGAATTATTTCATATTTGCAGTGTCAGCTATTTAAAAACACAGAATGTCAACTGTTTATGCATAAGTTTATAAGCAGAGTTTTGTATGTAATCAAATAATTCAGCCAATGAAAGGCTGAATACCAGTGGCGAAACACACAGCCTTCAGGATTCAATGAGCTAAACAGCAAGTTGAAAACATTATCCACTAGGAGCATACAAATTCCTTTGCCACATATACAACCACTATTGAAATTTTTGTAGCATTTCTATTAAAAGAGCTTTTCTCTATTAATGAAAGCTTGACACTACCATATTTAAATAGAGACAGCTGAACCAATACCTTTAAAATTACTCTTCCTTTGCTGCATTTTGAATTTATGATTAGATTTTTCAGAATTTTCATCTTGCTAAAGCCAGTCACAGACTCTAAACACTTTCCTCGTTCTTCATGAGTAGTGTACTTAAAAAGCTGCATTTTTCTTTGAAAGTAAAGTAAAATAAAAATGGTGGTATTCACTTAGAGAAAAATACCCTTAAACGTAAAACACAGGGAGTTGTCATAGTAGCACTAAAAACAGCTTTCCACATTTGTGGTAACTCAGTTTTCATACTTCAGCCCTCTGCACTGGGTTACTTGATTTGTACATTCAGCACCAACTGCAAAGGATCCTTAAAGCAACCTAGCATCTTAGTAACACCCATAAAACTGTACAGGGACAGTAGCTGGCAACTTTTGGGAAGCTTTACTGAACAGGCTGAAATGGAAATATATGTATTTATATTCTAAATTGTTCATATGTTTATACACACACACATATGCACATATATACACTTGCATACTGAAATTATGTATTTCAAAGTAAACTGGAAACAAAACATACTACAGCAAATCTTATCAAAGCTAATATTTGGCTGGAACAGCTATACTGATAGGTGGCACATTTTTTCCTGTTTGTAACCAAGGTAGTTCGGTAGCACATGCAGGTAAAGCCTACACATACTTGTAACTGCAAAATAGTCTGTCCCGGGAAGAAGTCTGTTCTGTACAGAGAACTGCTCTAACAGTACTGGCAGCAGAACTGTTCCAAGTAAACACCTCAGCTTCGACAGGGAAGATTTGCAGATTGTGGTATAGCTACTCCACGTAACCTTGTCAGGTGTAGACAAGACTTCAGAAGAGAAAGTAAAGCATGTAAAAAAAGGAATTTGTAAACTCAACCATCATTAATTCCTAAGAAGAAAGAGGGAGGGTGGGAATGATCCTTTTACTCAGAAACCCTTACTCCTTTTCTACAGTAAAAAATTACTATGCAGCTAAATTCCCTTTTCTTCCTGACAGACCTAAAAAGTCAAGAATATCCGTCCTTTTCTAATACAGCATGCCTTATTCATTGTTAACGTAACACACACATAATTTTGAAATGCACATAGGCCTTTCTCTGTGATTTAACTTCCAGGAGCTGAACACTACTGCTCACTCAGTGTCTACCTGCATTACTTTGCACAGCTATTTTCTGTTCCAGTTTGTGTATTTTAATAGCAGATTGGTATTTAATAGACCAAGTGGTTTTACTCACCCTTTGGATTTTGGAGACTTGCATCCTGCTAGCAACTGCTGTTCATCATCTTTATTGAACATAGACGTCACTTCCTTCCAACCCCGGAAACTTGCACCTTGAACCTACGCAGAGAAGTAAGCACCCTCATAAATGTGAATTACAGACTTACAAGGACACAGTGTGGCTGCCAGTGCTGGCTCTGGGTGGCTGACCGGCGGCACCAGCCCTGCCTCTCGTGTGCTGTGCGGCTCTGTAAGCCTGTGGAGGATGGTCGCGGCCCGAAAGAGAGCAGGCCGGGTCACTGCAGCAAGAGCTCTTCCCTGCTAAGCACAGAGCACAAAACTTTGCCAGTTTGCAGAGTCTGGCAAGTGATGTTGGAGTACAGCTGGGCTCCTGGATGCTCTCCTGCAGGCAGGAGCTGCTGCTCCATCTTGGTGTGTCACAGCGACAAGGGAAGCTAGGCAGTAAGGGCGGCAGTCTCAGGGGCTTCAGTCGACAGAAATGAAATGAACACTCATTGCTAGAAGTGGCCACAACAGACAGGACAGCAAGCTGAATTATGAAGCTCTTAAGACTGAGCCTGCTTTGCACTCATTGTTCCTACTGTTAACTCACCAAAACTACTTCTGGCCCCGCAAGGAAAAAAGGTAAGAGCATTGGCTCACCAGTGAAATGCAACGCGTGGCACTGGTGCTGTGCTCTCTAAATTTACCGCCACCACCAAACATGTAGCATAAACTATTTTCTCAACACCAGTGAAATGCAACGCGTGGCACTGGTGCACTACAGTGTGCTCTCTAAATTTACTGCCACCACCAAACATGTAACATAAACTATTTTCTCAGCATTATGAAAGGTTTGATTCCCTCTCCACCAAAGCAAAAAAAAAAAAAAAGGTATTGGTTGTTTTTATTTTGATAGCATGCTTAGGGACTCTAACAGAAACGCACACATGCGTGCCGAGCACCGAATTACGAAAGTTGCTGTTCTTTCTCACAGGGTCTAGTAAGAATGGCAGAGTGACAGTCTATCAGTGTTACTAAACTACATTAAAAAATACAACAATACATTATGAAGTATAATAAACAATGAAACAAAACTGTAGCTGTCAACATGAGTGAAGGCTAATTCATCACCGATTATTATTCTTCATCCCTTTTGCAGAACTCATTGGTGCAAATTAGTATCAATCTGACGTTTAGGTTTTAATTGATTATAACTGGTACATCCATGTAGGCCTTAAAACACGTGAAACATCACCTACGAATTGAGCACAGACACCAGATAGGAAAGTACTGGTACTACCACCTCCTCACCTTTCAGAAACCCACAACCTCGACCATTCACAGGAGTAGAACAGCGCCCTTGTTACCACATTGAGTCATGGAGTATTTTCATCTCTTGTTCTCCCATTTCACTATGTCCTACACTTTCACTTCTCACCCACCTTCCCTACTCACATCTGAACCACCTCAGCTACCCTGACTCAGGAGACGTAGCAGGTCTGGTTTACGTTCAAGAGGAAGATCTAACCTAGGCTCAGTTTTAATTTAGTTAGATACAAACATGGACCCAGCTTTGGGCAGAGCTCTGGAGAACTCTGAAGAGGGAAGGCTGAGCAAGCCCAGAGAAATTTCCAGCTCTCATTCATGGAACTGCTCTGCTCACCTCTTCCTAAACCCACACCTAATCTTACCACAAACCACAGCATTCCTCATGGCTTCGCAAGAAAAGTAACAGCTTCTATTTATGCTTTTTTCCACTATGAGAATAAAGTGAGTACAGATTATAAAGCAAACCCTCATGTTAAATTAAACATAGGTGTTCTATTTTTAATTATGTTGAAAATATGTAGACAGCAAACTTCAACTTTGCATCCCTGTGGCAGACTTACCCATCTCACAGCAGACTGGTACTGTTGATAGTATGAAACAAAACCAGACAAGCTGCAGATGATATCTTCAAACAGATACCTCGCTATACAAAATCCTTGTGTTTAAACTGTCAGCCTCTCCAAACAGTACTCAACATATAATGCTTCTGTGGTGTAAATAATGGTCTAAAACCCTCAATTTTTGTCTATAAAGGCCTAATCCTGTTATCTGTTTCTGTTATAGAATCATAAGGCTGGAATAGATCTGTAAGATCATCAAGTCCAACTGTTGACCTAATACCACTGTGCCCAATAAACCATGTCTACAAGTGCCACATCAACATGTTTTTTGAACACCTCCAGGGATGGTGACTCCACCACTTCCCTGGGCTTGACTACTCTTTTGCTAAAGAAATTTTTCCTAATATCCAATCAAAAGCCCCCTGGCACAACTTGAGGCCATTTCCTCT